GGGAAAGACAGCACAGAAGGGAAAAACATCCAGGAGGGAATGTACCAATAGTGTTGGGATGACATACGAACAACTGAGGAGGCGGTGAAAGAGCTCCTAAGTGACCTTGACACCTCAAAGCATGGGACCGGACATCTCCCATGGGTCCTTAGCGAAGGAGCAGAGATGCTGTGCGTGCCCTCCTAACCACATCTTCCCACAAATGCCCTTGAAACGGGCAACTACTGAGAAATGGAAGACAGCTAATGTAGTCCCCATATTTAGGCACGGAAACAGAACGGGCCGCTAAACTACAGACCTGTGTTCTCATGACATTATTGTGTTGCAAAGTCTTTGGAGAGATTATCAGGAGGAGAGTGGTCCGAACACCTTGAAAGGAAACAAGGTTCTAATGAAAACAGCATGGTTCATGGAAGGAAAATCGTGTATCCACAAACCTCCTGAAGTTTTATGACAGGTACAGAGTGTTATTGCAGGGTTCTGCATGAACATCGTAATGTACATTAGTGAAGAAGTGTGCCATTATAATATGAATATTATAGTTGTAAGCGATTAAATTTTATAATTAATAATGTGCATTTGGGGGTACTGTAAAAGTATGCTAACTGTAATTATAAGGAAATTTGTTATGATTGATTTTCCAGGATGTTTGGGTACGATGGAGTAAGGCGTGGTTTTTGGGGAGTCACGTGACGTTAGCATGGTGTGTAGAGGTGGCGTCTTAGATGCTGTGTATTTAAGATAAGTTTGTAGCGTGCACTCATTTGGTTATCCAACTCATAGCCATACGGCTCTCATATGGCTTCCCTGTATGTTACCCAGGCTTGACATGGTCGGGTGCTGTGGGAGGAGGGAGGATACTAGAAATGAGGGTGGGAGTGGAGTAAAAGTGGGTCTGGCGCTGACGAGGCCTAGTGGTGATGGAGGGGCGGGACCTCAAGCCAGCTGTGTTTGTTGTACCCGCATTTGGGCGTTTAGGATTAGTTTTTCGGTTATGTTATGTTATGGTGACTAAATAGATATATTTTCCTAATTGGGATTTTTGCCTAACCCTCTGGTACCCAACCCCTTTAAGTAACATACTATGTTTAGCGCTTTCTGTTTTGACGGGGATACCCGGGTGGCCGGTTTGGGCTGAGATGTGTGTAACCTTTACCTATGCCCTTCGAACCAGGCTCAAGCCCTAGTATCCCACATTTTTGCATAACAGGGGGGCCTGTCTGGGCGAATTATCAAATTTTATGGTGGTAATTCAAGTTTGCAACCTGGAAGTCAATAATCATTCTTTACTGGGTTGGTCAAGAGGAACATTCACTATAAAACACTCACATAAATAATAACTGACTTTTGTGGGCAACAGTGCTGGTTTGTAGGGGTTATTATTAATTAATACCCTGTGAAATTATTAACTTTGTGTGCAACATTGCTGGTTTTTAGGGTGTTCTTATTCATACTACCCTGTGACTAGTTTACTTTGTGTGCAACATAGTGGTTTTTAGGGTGTTATTATTATCTAATTACCAGGTAATAATATTGCTGGTGTTCGGGTGTTATTATTAATTACTGCTCTATAAATTCATTTTACCGTTCAGTGCCATATTGTTGATTTTTAGGGAGTTATTTTAATACTTGATTTGGTGTGCCTAATTTACCTATGCAGGTTACAGACTGGCTGATTTTTAGGAGGGTTATGTCACTAAATTTTGGGAATAATTTACCTTTGCAGGTGCAGTAGCCGTTCTTTTTTTCTGTTTAATTTGAGGGAGTCAATGACAACTCCTTTAAAGTACTACTTCCGTATATGTACTTTGCTGGTGCTTTATTATTTTATATCCTCAGTAAGTTCTGTGGTGGTAGTAGATTTGGTGCTATTATTTCCCAAATGGCTGACACTGGGTGACATTCTGCGGATGACATGCAATTGGAAGGTGACATGAATCAACTCCCAAGATAGGGACCTGGATAAGGAAGTAGTAATTTTACACATGAAATTGCCCTAGTTGCAGAGAAATGGAACGGTTAAGGATTGAGTGCACCAAGATCCAGGAACAGAGAGCCTTAGAGGGAGTTAGGGCTCAAGAAAGAGCTAAAGCGAGGCATCTTGCTTCTCACACCGACACAGACACAAGGGTAGATGTTTTTTCGCATTTGATAAAGCCATAAAAATTTGTGCCCAAATTCCTAGAGAGAAGACCCAGTCCTGCTTTTTATGTTATTTGAAAGTTACGGCCAAATCCAAGTTTGCCCGGAAAAGGACTGGGCGCCAATAGCAAGAACCCCCATTCGTAGGTAAGGGTACAGGCTATTTGTTCTTTAGATGGATCGGCCTTTCTGATTATTATAAGCTAAAGAGGTAATTTTATGGCTTATCCAAATGCTGCCGGAAAGGTACCGGCAGAAATTCAGAGGACTAAAGTTTCAGTCAGGGCAGTCTTTTGGTGGAATATGGCAGGAGCAGATGTTACTTTCTAGAATAGGTGGTGTCGACTCAAAGGGGGTGTAGGCCATTATGAAGGGGGGGGGGGGGGGGGGGGGTTTTGGGGGTTTTTTTTTAATACCTTAGTTTTGTTAAGGATCTTTTGGGAAATGTTCCTTCTTGACCCTTAGAGTATACTCTTGAGGAGAAAGGATCTTGATGATTTTAATATTGCTTTAGAGATGGATGACAGATTTGTAGCTAACCAAAAAATTTGGGTAGTAGTTACGCACCCCCCCATACTATAATGATAAGTTTTCCCCATCCACCAATAGGAATAAGAAATTTCAGAAGTTTAAGCCACCATTTATCAGCCTCAACCCACAAGAGTTTCTAATAACCCGAATTTACCAGTACCCATCGAGGAGGTTTTAAGTCAGCCAGTCACGGTCCAGGACTACAAGGAACAGGTGGGACAAGCCAGTTCCCCTGAAACCAAGGGATCCAAACTCGGTCAAATTGCAGGGGGCCTTTATCAAACCTTATCACTGTACATATTGCAATAACAGGCCACCTGCAGCCATATGTCGAATGATGCTTAGGGCCAGGGCTGCGGGCAGCTGCTTACTCCAGTAAATACGCCGATTACACATGATGTGGCTTGCATTGCAGTCATGCCCCAAGGTATCCAAAGAAGACCAGCTGTCCTTTGACCCTCGGATGAAGGTCTATCAAAGTAAAGGTACTGTGCCTTACACCAAAAGGGAAGGTAGGGTCACGGGTATTATGTCTTTTAGGGGACATTGTAGCCCATATACCTTGCTTCGCAGAGGGTGTATTGCCAGTGTCGGATGACACCTACTCCGGATTGGACATTTTTCTTAAAGGGATAACTGGAGTCCCTGTCAGGGACTCCAGAGCACAGGTTATGGGAGAGTCTGTGTACCGTCTGGGTACCTCCTGTCGGTATTGGGGGCAGAGATGTCCCTTTTGGCAGGAGTTGACCTTTCTACTAGGCCCAACGTTGTGGGACTTCTCAAACGTGCGGATGTTTGGTTTTCAGGACCGCTTTTGCCAGGTGGTAATGACCCAACTTTTTTGGAGCAACGGTACCTGAAATTTTCTTGTGCTTTCGGACTAAACAGGGAAAGCAGGAGCTGTTTTGCCCCCCCCCCCCCCCCCCCCCCCCCCAACCCCCCCCCCCCCACACCCCCGCCCCCCCCCCCCCCCCCCCCCCATGCCTCCCTGTGACCCTTCTGCACCACTGTGGTGCTGGTTTGGGCATGGGAGCCTGTTCATTGAGGTCTGACTGCAGGAGACTCTGCGCAGTGCTGAAACCGCTCAACCCGGAACTCGGTGGAGAAGTTGGTCTTGGAGTGATGTGGGAAAAAATCCCCTGGACTCTGAGCCTAGCTGAGTGAGGCCGGGACGGTTGTGACCTCGGAAACGTCTTCATTTAGCAGTTGTCGCGGAGGATGTGGTTCCCCAAATTTACCAAGAGTTTTTTTGCCAGAGTTGATTCTAATGAGCAAGACTTTTTAAGGAGGACTGTGGTACGTGGCCGCGGCAGACAACTATTAGCGGTGTCTTTAGGCAGTATTTTTGACAGATTCTGAAGGAACGCATGTCAGTGTTAAGACAGGTAGAGCTAAATAATCGTGTTGATTAATAATTCCTTGTCGCACAGGTTATCCAGAGTCTATACCCTTTCTGATTAATTTTGGGTATGTGTGGTTTTGAGATTTCTGGTGAAACATTGTTGTCTTTGTAGGCTTTGCACCAAAATCACCCAGAAGTTCAAATTTTATGAAATGTCATGTGATTTTGAGAGCCTACTTGAGATAAATTTACCAATGTATATCATCTAGGAGTCAAAGGAAAAGCACCATGGTTTTCCCAGTCCTCTCAGGACCAATGCTTGTTTGTTTTAACGTTCCGCAAGGACTGGGGAGGAGGGAATTCCCCTCCTTTCATTACCCGTGTGGGGAAGCCACTTGGAAACATAAAAGTCATTGTGCTACGTGATGGGATGGTGTTTCCTGCGGTGTTTTTTCTCGTTTCAGAAAATCTTCTTGGCTAAGATGAGGTCGTGGCACTAGATGCACCTGTCTGCCCGTCCGCCAGGATGACGTGGACTATGAGTGGTGGCTTTTTACCACAATCTGGAAGCTGGAGAGATGGATTGGCTTGGAGCCGAGTCCTGGGAAAGGCTATACTGGCAAAATGTGTGGTTGATTCAAACTGATGATGGCGAAAGTCCTGAGAAAGATAATGTAAGCAGGGAAAATTGTAGAGCTTGTGAAGATGAGGATCTTCTGAAAGGACTGGTTGGAAATGTTGCTCAGCATGGTGCACCTTAGTGAAAGCGTTTTGGATGCTGAAAAATGGGGCCCTGTTAAACCCCATGAGGTAGAGGTTTCCGAATTTGTGGAAATGTCACAGGCCTGGCTGATGTAGCTGGGGTGCACTAGGTTCCTTGAAGGAAGTGAGTGTTATTTCTAGAGACTGTTGTGGTATCCTCAGCGAGAGTCGGTCGACGTGTCTTCTACTGGTCTCACCCTAGGTGTTACTTGGAAAAACGTGCACTGACTGCCGCCAGGTACAGTTCAAAAATAAGGTTTTGTCTCGTCTTTATGGAACTACATGCAAATTGTGGAATGATACTGGGGTGCGTCATTGCTTCCATGACCATGTGTGCCAAGGACACACCCGTATTTGTAACTTAATATCTCTGTCCATGTACCTGTTTGTATGCCATTAACCCTCAAGATCTTTTATGTGTAATCTTGAGTTACCCACCCTGGGTTTTGCAACATGAACAGAGGTTGGGTCAGTTTGTTGCAGGGTAGAGCAGGAGACAGTAATACCATCGGCTGCTTCTCAGCAAAAAGTAGCAGGCACCAATGAAGTTATACCTCCATAGAATAGGAGGCTCGTGCTTTAGTGTGGCCAGATGCAACAATTTGAGGTGTATATATCTTTCCTATCCACCCTGTAACTGCCTCTTTGTATAGTGGACCATATTCCTTTACGTTTTCCATCACTATAATGAGGCCAACATCAGAGACTTACCAAGGTGGGCCTTGTTTCGCCAACTTCTCATCTTGTGATTTCATTATGTGACGGGGAGGCGGAGAGGTGGATGCTAATTACCTGGTCTTGTGTTTAAAGTGCATGATGTAGTGTATAGATCACTTTATCTATTCTTACTTTTGCAGTGTTTGCGGTAGACGAGTAGATGGGACCTGGGCCCTCCCAAGGAGAAGGGCAGGTCGAGCGGAGCTGGGGTATCAGGATTCCCTAGTGGTGTGTGTATTTAGGGGTAGTCACATCAAAGGCCATGCCTAGGGTAAGGTATGCTACGTTTTTAGGTGTTGGCTGGAATGCCTCGCTCTGTTGTTTGTTGCGTATAGGGACGGTTGGAACTAACGTTTTAGTGAATTTTGGGGGCTGGCGGTGATGCCCTCCAGGGTTTGGGTCATGTTTGATTCCGAGGTGTTTTTGGTTCTCCTGGACTCTTTTACTTTTCCTTTTTGGATACCGCCTGGGGTGACTCCAGGGTCCTTGGACATGACTGTCGGTGCCGGCTGGGCGGTCCACCTTTTGGGGGTCTTTCCGTACCTGACTCCATGGTTAATCGGCTCCCCCTTCCCCCCCCCCCCCTATTCCAGTGCCACATCCACCGAAGATATACCCCCATCCCCAGGGGCCGTATTTCCCTCTCTGTGCTCTCCTGATTCTCGCAGATGTGTCAGGGGATACCGTTTTGTTTTATTAAAGATTGCTGTGGAGATGGGTGTGATAATGTGATGTTTTCTCAGTTGAATTTAACATGTAACATCTGTTTTTTCTTTCTTTGAAACTCCTGGACAAATGTCCTTACTGTATAAAGTTTTTTGTGGTGGCACCTACAGTTTGGTCTCCCCCGCCTTGCAAACATACTGACCTTTGGTGTTCTTCATAAAACGGTTCCTCAGGGGCCTTTTTGTACACATTAGATTGCTCGGTTATAAGTTTGCATTGATGTAATTTAGGTTAAAATTGCATCAACGCCAGCGCTGGCCAAGCGCTTGGTTGTAATGGTGCCTTTTCCTAAAACAGCTGTTAAGGAGTGCGACGGTGGGCTCGTTTGGGCATCGCTCTTGATCATTTTCTGTTGGCGAGTTTCATATGTCTGCAATCTAGTACCTCAGTTTGTTAATATTGCATATTGGTAGTACCAAAAGGTCCGGTGATTGTATAGTGGTCATCCCCAGTTATCTTTTTGCCCGTTGCCTCAGACCTTAATGTGGGGCTTATTTTCTTTTTTTTTCTTTTTGCCTAGCGGTGTCCGTAGGGACCCCACTCGCAGAGTGGTCCCCCCCCACCCCCCCAACCCCCCACACCCCCCCTATGTCTGGGGGGGGGGTGTTATGCTGGGTTCTGCATGACATCGTAATGTACATATAGTGGAGAAGTGTGCCATAATAATATGAATATTATAGTTGGTAAGGAATAATTTTATAATTGCTAATGGTGCATTGGGGGTACTGTAAAGTATTCTAACTGTAATTATAAAGAAATTATGTTAATGATTTATTTTCCAAGGATGTTTGGGTACGCCAGGACGGCACTGAGTGGCGAGCCCATGGGTAGACCAAAAGTATGTTGAAAGAGGTGATTTTTGAAAGAGAAATACGTAAAGTTGACACATAATTCAACGAGGTCGATGAAATCGCTGGCTGGAATAGGAAGATCAAGTGAATCGTCAATTTTTCTGCACAGGAGATTGATGGCTTGTGTAGTAGGTACTTTGGTGAATAGGGAAGTTACGTCAAGGCTGGAAAGTTTCTTGTTCCTCAAACACTCGGGTGATCTTCTCAATCGCATTCACAACATCAACATCAGGAACAAAAACTTTCCAGCCTTGACATTAACTTCCTATTCATCAAAGTACCTATACACAAGCCATCGATTCCTGTGCCAGAAAAATTGACTGCTTTTTTCACTTGATCTTCCCATTTCCAGTCAGCGATTTCATCGACCTCGTTGCCTATGTGTCGGCTTTGTGTTTTCTCTTTAGAAAATCACCCTTGCACCAGGATTTGGTTACCATGGGCTCGCACTCAGGGCCGTCCTGCGCGAACCTTATACATGGAACATCTGAAAGCCGAGCGTTTTCTCCATTATTCCTGCCTGTCACCTGGCTCGTTATGTTGACGAACATTCTCCTCATAACTGCCCAGGCAACTTCAATGTGCAAGTCTCCAAGACAAGCTAACCAGGTCGAGCCCTCAATCAGTTCACACTTGAAGAAGGAAGTCGAAACATACTCTTCCTGTCTTGAAGACTCGTCCTCTGCAAACTGACCTGAAACTTCATTTTAAAGTCTATCGAAAACCAACCAACCAAAACGATTTTCTCACTTCTACTCTCACACGCCACCAAACTAAAGTGGGTAATTATAGGCTTCTATCCTGCGGCACTCAGCAATCTGCAGGCCATGAGATAATAAAAACTTCCTTGAGGAAGAATGCCCTATAACTTGAACAAGTATTTTCTAAACTCCATGTGTGCCAAGTCCCGGACTAGGAATAGGTTGAAGACAGTTGAAAATTAAACACATGTGCAACTTCTGGGTATCTTTATTGAACGTTTCGCATTCAGTGGCTTACTCAATACAAATTCAAGGACATAATTGGAAGACAGAAGAGCGATATACAAAAAGATGAGGTAATCATCCTCCAGCGTAGTGTAAAGAATCACTACCGTGCTCTCCACCAACTCCAAGGTGAGGGACTGATTACCTCCTCTGTTGATATCGTTCTGTCTTCCAAATTATGTCCGTGAATCCCGTTTGATAAAGCCACTGGATGGCGAAAGTTACAATAAAAGAACCCGATGTTGCACATGTGTGTATAACTGTGCATTTGTCGGTATTGTGTACCATTCATGTACAGCCTTGAAGAAAGAAGTTGCCAGTGTAGTACACACACACAGCTATAAATGCTGCAGATATTTTTTCCATAATGGGAATATCCCAAATGGATTATTTGTTGGCCATAGTTTCAGATGGTCCTGTTGACAGAGCTGGGAGAATATCCCGTTGTCTGGTGCCTTTATTTTGCCTGCAAGTCACAGTCGTGCTGGTTGTAATATCATCCTAGTGTAAGATCGATGGCTGAGTGGTTACAGAGTTGGGCCTGGTAAATACATAGACCACAGTTCGAGTCGAGAGAGGGAGAGAGAGAAATAATCATCAGGATCTGTGGAAAAAAATCACAATCCTTGTACAAATACAGTAAGATAAATTATGTTCAATTATATAAAATATGTCAAATAATCCCCTACACGGCGGGATAGACCCCCGCCGATCCAGAGAGTCTCAAAACACCAGACCGTCACGTTAGCCACTGGACCCAGCTAGGACCCAATTACGCTTTTCGTCCAACTAGGTATATTTCTCTCACCAATGGAAGGTTAGCACAGGCACCACTGTGAACACAAATGCAAGTTTTTTCAGACGAATCTCCAGCTAGCGTGGCCGTGACGAACTCTGCGCCAAGTCCCCTCAAAGCGTTAACATGACTCACGAAATCGTATGACACGATAGCAAAAAAAAATACACGGTGGGGCTAACGCGATCGAAGCTTCGTCTGTAAAAACTTGCAGTTGTGTGGTCACCAGTGGTGCTATGCTAACCTTCCTATGGTGTAGAAAGACACCTAGTTGGATGAATTTAGTGTTGTCTAGTGGTACAGTGGGCTAACGCGCCGGCTGGGTTTGAGACCTCTCTGATCGTGCGGCGGGGAGTTGGGCGGGTTCGGTTCGTGTCCCCGCCCGTGGTTAGTATGGTTTGTTTGCAATCGTGTCATTACGTATTTCGTGA